TGTACCCTAATACGTTGTGTGGTCTTTGGTCTCATTGGGGTGAAAATTACCTAACTTTCTAGGCCTTGATTTCCCCATCTATAAAATGGGGATAATAATACATCATGGACTTGGTGTAAAAATCTAATATATTTTTATGCTTTATATGGCACTTGATATACAGTTGGCATTTAATAAATATAAATCTCTCCCTTTAAGATACTATTGATATCATTATATTCTTGTGGTTACAACTGTTATACGATAGATATAATAGATGCCTTTTAATAACCAGCAACTGTGTCTCAGGCACTCTGCTAGCTGTTTTTCATTAGCTACTGCATTTGTGCAGTGAAGAAAACCAAAGCTCAGAGACATTACTTGCTCAAAGGAACACAGCTAGTAAGTGATCAAGCCATGATCAGAAACGAGGATGTCCCGAATCAAAAGGCCCTTATTCTAATGGTGACATTCCTACACACAATTTTCAGACGCCAACCCGAGGCTCTGAGTGAGATGTCGTGTAAGATCGCCAAGCAAAGCAGTAACTGCTAGAGTCAGAGGACTTTTCTCTATTCCCAGCCCAATGCTGCAATATGACAATTAGAAAAGATAAACCCCTTTTGGGGGTTGGGCACAATTATTTGATCCTCTCCCCCAACATCTGCCAGCCCACTGGGCATTGCAAAGTGAGGACCCAGCAGCCCCAGATACTGTGGGCGACAGGAAAGAGGCAGCAGAAGGCAGCTACCTCTTCCTGATAAAAGGAAAACTGGATGCTATGTGCTCAAAGAACAGCTTCTCAATAAAGTATCCAGTGAAAACCCCTGGCTGAAAGTGACCATTGAAAGAGTTTCCAAATCTCCATCAGGTCTCTCTCTCTCAATCTCTCTCTCTCTCTCACTCTCTCTCTCCCTCTCTCCTTCTCTCCCTCTCTCTGTCTTTCTCAATCTCTCTGTTTGTTTTGGAAGTTGAAGAGAAAATAACGAGCAATGTGGATCCTAAAGCAGTTTACACTGAACCAGATGGCGCCTCTGATTAGCATCAGACTAAAAAGACACATTCCCTGGAGATTAGGCTCTCACAGGGACGAGTCTGTTCCCAAGGCACAGAGGGTTCGGTTTCCTCGCAGGCTCCCCTTAGAGCTTTCTCCCGGCTTCTCTGTTCATCCTTTCTCCCGTCATCACCGCCAGGCAGGTCTGAGCTTGTGTTGAAGAAGTCAGCAAATTGATTCCTTGTAGATTTCTCAGTTCTCCTCTCGCTGCATCCTGAAGTCGCTCACACTGGGCATGACGGGGCACGTGGCACCTTGGCTGGTCGCGGCTCCTCACTCCTGCATACCCCAGGCCAACAAGCCACACTGTGCCACCGAGTCTGCACAACAACCCAATGAGACCCATTCTGTAGCCATCCCCATTTTTCAGATGAGGAAATTAAGGCTTGCAAGGATAAAGTAATTTACTCAAGATCACAGGTCAAGTCAGAGTTGAAGCTGATTGGCTCCATGAAAGAAAAGAAAAATATTGCCTCTGTGTGTGTGTGTGTTTTAAAAGAGCCCCATGCGGCAAGTCACCATAGAGGATGGCTGTCAAGTGTCCAAAACTATGCCACTATGTTGGGGCCTATAGCAAGATAAACAATGAAGGGAGAAACCACAAACATTTCACTCTGATCTATTCTTCTAGCCATACATAACATGGCCCTGTCACAAAATTACTCTAGGGAAATAAAATAAAAATGGAAAAAGGCATTCAAAGCCAGAATGAAATGCACATACGGTCATTCATTAAATCCTGTGTTTCTCGGACCCCGAGGAAAGCCATGTGGCTTCCGGGGAAACAAGGAAGCTTGGTTTAGGATTATGCACAGCTATCAAACATGAAGGAAAGAAATCTAAATGTCAGAATAGAAGCTGGGATACTGCAGGGTGCGGCAGGAAAAATAACACCACCAATAATTAAGAGTTACGGCTTAGCATGGGATATTATGCAGAGCCCGACACTGTGGAAAGTACTTGAAATGCACCACCCATCTCATTATTCTACACAATAACCCTCTAAGACAGACGCTATTATTATGATTCCCATTTTACAGATGGGCTTACTGGGGACCAGAGAGGTTAAGAAAATGACCCACAGTCACACAGCTGAGAAGGGGCTGAACCAGGAAGTAAAATCAGGTCTGGTGTGACCCAAGAACCAGTGCCCTTAGCCAGCAAACCCTCTCTGCTTCTCCACAGCATCCTCCTGAAGCCGGGCCAAGAGGGTAGCCTGCCAACAACTCAGAAAGTGCTTAAAAGCCTCCTGGCCCCTCTGCTTGATGTCAATACAAATGTTCAAGGCTGTGGGTACAAGCTGATGTCACCAAAAATACTCCAGGCAATTTGCACATCTGGCAGTGGGATGAGTGAGGGCTCAAAGCAAATCACGTCCCTGAGGCACAGGACACTTCACAGGGAGAAGAGCAGGACGAATGTCATTACAGCGCAAACTTGGCCGGAGGAAGCAAACTCACCTTGTGTAAGGGTAGAAAAAGAGATACCCACCCAAGGGTGACGGCCATCCAGCATGTGTACATGAATTCAGATCTTACTCACTGGGAACTTGAGGACTTAAGAAAGGCAACGGGCTGAAGTTTCCCGTGGGGATCATTTTGTAAGAGGGTTCACTTAACAAGCAACAGTGCAGAGGAGTTACCTTGCTGCTGCACCCACCAGCAGACAGCTGTCACGTGTGAGCCATGGGTGTCCAGACTGGCTACACTTTGCATCCTCTCGCAATTGAGTCCCCGAAGGGCACTTTGTGTGTCTGCTGCTAGTCTCTGTATGTATTTAAAGGTGAGAATTTTGCATTTCTTTTGTAACTGTGTACAACACTAGGGCTGGTCTTCTGTCAGTTAATATTAATCAGAGGGTTTTTACTGAATCTGAAACCCAGACACACAGCAGGACTGGGAGGCAGCAGCTGTCCAGCCTGCCCTGTGATTACGCCAACGCTCAGGGGCCACCTCCCAGCCCAGGAGGTGTGGCTGCAGTAAAGGAATTGCTCTGACTTCCCCGAGGCTGGAACTGACACCACCTGCCCAGTCCGGGACCGTGCTAGCTCTCCATCTGGCCTCGGTGCCAGGCGGGGCCCCTGACAATGACGGCAGCTCTGAACAACGAAGGAGAGCCAAGCAGCCCGCTCTCTGCTGCATGTGCAGCGCCATATGTAGCTAGACTTGTCCTTGTCACGTCCCTAGGACAAGACTCAATTTGCCCTACAGTGACACCACCTGAGATCCCGGAGGGGTTGCCAGGGCAGGAGGGGACAGGCATATTTCAAAGCTTTCAGAATAAGGGCAATTCATTTGGAGGTGGAAATCAGAACTTTAAAAAACATGAAAGTCTCGCTTTTAAAAGCCCCCACAGTAATTCAAGGAATGCAACAAGACTTAACCAGGATTAGTCTCCCATCACCTCACACAAACCACCTTGCACAAACCAACTACATATGGATTGAATTAATCTGTTGCCACACATCTGTCTAAATGGTCAAGAAACTACACACATGAATATTAAAATCACAAGAAGAAAAACACTTTTCTTCCCTATGTCCTCCTCCAACCCTTAACTCCAGGGATAGGATCCAGACAGCAATTTTGGATGCACCATGTTAACCAAGAACTGGAAGAAAACATCTTTACAGTGAAGTGGTTCCTGAATATTTCTGTGATTACCGGGCAATTTGCATAAATATCCAGGCTTCACTCCTTGAATAAATTCCAGTTGGGCGACGACTGATCTTCAGAATTCTAAGACCTCTTGTTTCTTGCACAGTTTGTTTCTCATTTTATTATTGACATCAGTGTGGACAGAGAAATTTAAAATTAGAAAGGACTGGTCTCAGGGTATAGAAAACACTACTGACCCTCAAAAGTCATTTCTTCACCCTTATAGATAGAAGTGAAAAGTGCACAGTTTCTGAACAAGTAATTCATCTACATCAAGCAAAAGGCATCGTCTGTTTTGCCTGATCCAGCAAGTTGCTGGAGAAGAGATAGAAGACGAGTAAGGGCTTCTAAATCCCGCCTGGCCCTCTCCGGAGGAGCTATGCACGTCTAGTTGATGAGCTTTTGACCTCAAAAACAGGGAACTCCCCTGTCTCTTGACAGTAGGGTTAGTCAGAGGACCCAGTGGTCACCAGTTTGGGGTAAGCACCAGCTCTGACCATACCTCCACTGTCATTCTCTGATCTCCAAAAATACACACCATTAAGTAAAGACAGGCAAAGTACAGAACAGTTACATAATATGTTGCCATTTGAGTGATAATAATAAAATACCAGGGGAGAATACACAGCATATATGTGACTGCACATCCATCAGTGGCCTTGGAAGCAAACACAAGAGACTGGAAGCGCTGGCTGCCTCTCGAGAAGGAGCTGGGAGTGGCCATGTGCAGGGTCTAGAGAGACCCTTTCATACCTTTGCATTTTAATCCATGTCAATGTGTTACCTATTCAAAAATCATTTACATTTTTTTACAAACTGCAAAAAATGCTAATTCCTACTCAATCAGAAATCTCTTAGATGGGTCCCAGGAATTAGCATTTTAATAAGCTCTCCAAGTTTATTCTTACACACTCCAGATTTTGAGAACTTCCCCATTAAAGACTCTTTCTACTAAAAAGAACTTCATCCACTTCCCCTCAAGTTAAGGACAGGAATAATAAACCACGCAGGCAAAAAAGCCTCACACCACAACAATCTAAAGCATGACTCCTCATTAAACTTCCTTAAGAGAAATAAACGATGCAACCTAAGCAGTCTTAAAATCAATTTAGATTCCGATATCTGAGTTGTCAGCCACTTTCTACTTTTCGCACTTATGTGAACCAAGGGAATTGTTAGAGAAGAGATGTTTTCGGCGTCACCGGACAGGCTGCCCTCTCCTGCCAGGATTCCGAAGGAGGATGTGAGGCTGATGGCCTTCTCCCCTCTCCCCCACACCCCGCCCCCCAGCCAGGATGCTCTGCACTCACCTTGCTTTTTGAAGAGGTTGCTCTGGACTATCTCATTCATGGACTGCACTTTCTGCTTCTGGAGTTTCACGGGAGGGATGCAGGTGTAGAACTCGTACAGGAGTTGGCTGAGGGTGGGAAAAACAGGAGCTGGTAGAGCCAGTTAGACCCATGTCTCCCACCTCATAGCAACTACAGTCCATCCCTGGATGTCAGCTCTGTGGGGGCAGAAACTATTCTGCTCTTGCTCCCCTTGGACCCACAATCCTGGCAGAGTATCAGATGCACAGGAAGCATTCAGTAAATATGTGTGAGCTGCTTGTGGCACTGACTATCAATAGCATTCAAAGAGATGTGAAAATCTGAAGATAATAACCAACAGCCCTGAGCACTTATTGTGCACCGGGCACATGTTTGCATTTTATATCCATCATGCCATGTAGAACTCACAGCTCTAATAAGCTAAGAAAAAGAAGGTATATCTGACTCAGATGCCCCTATTCCGACAGCATGATCACACCAACATCTATGAGATGGAGTTAAGAAGGAGAAAGCAGAAGTGAGCCCATCTCCATTGTCTCTTTAAGTACCCTTAGGTTATTCTCCATTCACAACTGTAGGGCTTACAGGGCAAAAACTGGAGCCCAAAATAACCTACCATTCCAGCAGATATGGAGACATTTACCCCAAACATCAGATTTTAGCCTACTGGTTTACCTTCTGTATAATCAAAGAGGCACGTTTATTATACAGTTGGTTTTCACCAAAGTCTGGCACAACAAAACCAAAAGGTAAAAATCCCACACTGGAAGCCCAGAACAGGGCTCCCATCCTGTGCCCTCCCGTCCCTCAGGTGAGGGCCATCTGGAACTCCCCACAAGAGCCCTCCTCCTCTTCTGATCCCTGGCTTGCCAACAGAGCCCAGAAAAGTACAACATAAGCTCTCACCTGAGTAACTTCGCATCAAAGACGGTTTCCACATCATGGAGGACAGATGGGATGTATTTCAAAGCTGCCACCTAGGTGGAATGGGAAATAAACGTGAGTGATGCCCACGGCCAACCAGTCTGTGCTGGCAAAGAGGGTACTTTGCAACATGACACAGTTCAGGGGAAAATGACCCTGCATCTTGGGCACTACAATAATGATGCAAGACTCTGCATGTAGACTCAAACATAAGCATGAACTTCTTTATATAAAATGTAAGTGAAGCGACAACTTCTGCCTTCAAGGAGGCAGTAATGTATAGCAGAATTGAACACAGACTTTGAAGTTATAAAGATCTGCAGTCAAATCTGTTTCCACACCTTACTAGCCATGTGGCTTTTGACAAAACACTTAACCTCTCAGATATTTACACATCTGTGAAATAGGGAAAGTAATACCTACTTTGCAGGATTGCAAAAATTAAAAATAATATATGTGAGTCATCTAGCAGAGCATTGGGCATTACTTTGGGTACTCAATAAATGGTACCTTCCATTATTAATGGAAGATGGAGTGCTTGAATTGTTTTGCTGATGGATTGGATTGGACTGAGTTATTCGTATTTTCTCTCCCCAGCCACTTTGTGAACAACAGCGGGCATGTTTTGGTTCACTAGCTGGGTTAGGAAAGCTGAGAATTGTGGTAGATTATTTACTCCCTTTAAGTTAACTGTTGTAACCAGAGGTGCGAGCCACACTTGCCCCTGCACAGCAATGCCACCTGCTAAGCAGCAGGGCAGACTACAATGTTGGCAGGAGTTGTAAGTTGCATAAATAGAAAATAATGTTTAAGAATCTAATGGAAGTATGTGCTTTTTATTCTTTTTGTTTTTCTGTATATTCTAGGGGTTCTATCATCAACATGTATGCCGCTCTAACAATCAGACCAAAGTAAAAAATAGGAAAAATTACTTTCTTAAAGAAAATCTCACTCCTAGCCATATACAACTGAGATTCTTACTTAACATAAATAATGATTATGACTATTCTCTGAGAATTTACAATGAGGCAGACAGTGGTGAACACTGCTAATAGATTATCTTATTAATTACAGCCCTGCAAGGGAAATACTATTTTCATAGGTAAGGAATCTCAGGTTCATCAAGATTAAATAACTATCCCAAGACCACGAAGTTAGCAAGTAGAGAGTCAGAAATCAAATTCAGGCAGGATGCTCATAGAGCCATTCCTTGTAACCCTTAAGCCACATGGCCACTTACTCGAATAGCAACTCTCTCTCTGTGCACTCATCTTTTTTCTCTTGTTGTTTATAGTTTTTAAATTCTAAAAATTGAGTACTATATGTTTGATGTAAGACAAAAAATTCACACAAGATAGGTATTAGGGTGAAAATTGTCCCCACAGTCCTACGTCACATCCTCATCTAAGCTCCAATCTCTCTTCCCTAGAAGGGACCACCGTTAGTTAAGATTGTGGTAAGTTCCCTTCCAGACTGCTTCCTATGCATGAACATGTGTGTGCATGTGTGTGCCTGTGTATGTATGTAAATACAGAGGTCTGCAACTTTCTTTTTGGTTAACCACAAACCAGTGGGATCTTGGCCTGCCATTTCATAGAGTGCACTCTCTTCATTTCTACCACTACCCAGCAATGCCCAAATGGGTACATTATACCTCTTTCAACTCACCCCTGCTGAAAGGCTCCATGCCATTTTCAGTTTTTCTTTATTATGAAACGGGTGGTGAGAAAATATTTAACTATAGGATGGGTTGCTCAAAGAGAAACTCATGTTTCAAAATATATATACATATAAATTCTAGGAGATATTGTCAAGTTACCTTAAAAGCCATGGCAACCAATTTCCTTTTACTGACTGTCCCTTTCCCCATACCTTTGCTAAAAGTGGATATATGATCTTTCTCATTTTTGTTGACATAATGCATTATTTGTGACTGTAATTTGCAATTTTTTCATTGCCAGTGCAGTTGAGCATCTTCTCTATATTTATTGGACGTGTAAACTTACTAAACTGCTTGTTTATATCCTTTTTCCATTCTTCTTTTTTCTTGTTAGTTTATAGAATTCTTTATGCATCATTAATATTAACCCTTTTGTAGTAACACAAAAGGGTTTTACAAGAAATTCCTCTTGCTTATCCTGTTGTTTCATTGCATGTAAAGATTTTAATTTGCATGTTGTCAAAGTTGTCAGACTTTTTCTTTATAGTAATTAGATTTTGTATCTAGAGATTTATTCTTTATTCTTTCAAATGTAGTTGATAAGAGAAAACAGGGCTCCAAAGTCAGTGTTTCTAAAACTATGTTCTATTGGACACTCTTGTCTCATACGATGGTATTAGGTATTGTGTAAGGGAAAAGGGGTTTGCAATCAGATAATTTTGAGAAACATTGATTTGAGCAAAGATAAACCAGTGAGTTATTTTAGCAACAGAACTTTTCAGAATTTTAATATGCTAAGAAGCATGACATTCCTCCAGGCAGTTACACTACACGGTACATTACAACCTGGGTGGTCAAGGACCATCTGTACCAGGCAGCCTGGGCAAGACCATCTGTATGAGAAAGGAGTGACGGGCAAGGAGCACAGGGCAGTGGGGAGTGATGAGGTGTGTGGAATCCACACTCAGTCTAAAGACTGAGTCGTTCTTGCTCAATTGTTTCAGCCTTGTGGGAGCCAAATCCAACACGTCTGCAGGCTGCATTTCCTCCATGGACTACCTGTCTACAACCTCTAAAGGCAAAGGGACACCATATACTAGGCACATGCCCTGAAAAAGGGCTCGTCTGAGCACTTCAAGTGAAGCGTTTCTATGTCCACTCTTAGGCCAAAGAACATGGAGACCACAGGGACCCTCGCGTGAATAATCCCAGATCTTCACCCAGCGCCTGGAGGAGCCTCGGCCCACTTCCTCACCCCCGGCCTCAGGCTCTGCGGTGATGGGGAGGCTGCGAAGTAAAGCCAGTTGTGCAGCTCAAAGCTGTGCAAGCGCCCAGTCTCCCCTCATCTCATCCCTCAAGCACCTGCCCTCGTTCCCCGGAGCCTGGATGGAGTATAATGTGCACTCATCATAATTAAGACCAAGGTGAGAAAACACGCAGAGAAACAAACCCCTCAGTAAAGCCAGGGAAAGGCAGGACTTCAGTGTCTGCTGAGGTTGCTGGCTTTCAAGAGCTGCACAGCGTCCTGGGGCTTTGGAGTGACGCTGCAGAGCAGCAGGCACCAGAGGTCTGTGTAGACATGGCCACTTACACATGGCGCGAAGAGGGAGTGGGGCAGACCGGGGAGGGGCTGCTCGGGAGGAGCCAGTCTTCCCGGCTTCCCACTTGGGATGGCAGTAAAGTCACACAGACTGAGTTACCGTCACCCAAGACTCAGAGGGTGCTATCAGTGTGACAGGAGAGTATTAAACTTTCATTTGGGGCAGGCGGCCTCGCAGAGCGGTGGCAGCCCTGTGGTGCTCTTTTCCAGTGGGGACAGCCCATCTCTGACTCGGGAAGTTTGCCAAGTCTGTGTCACGGCCCGCAGCAGCCACAGGGTTCTTGCCCCTGGTCTTCCCCTGACACCCTGACACACCTGGGAGGGTGACAACAGGCAAGTTCAGCAGGTGCTGCCACCAAGCACTCTCAAAAGACAAGGCATCTCAGCCACAAGACCTGCCAGAGACCTCCATTTATCACACGTGTCTAAGGCCCAGGAACGACAAACAGACTGGTTTTCTAGATCCACCAGCTTCCTGAGAACTGTGTTGCCTCACCATTGCTATTATTTTTACTCTCATTATTAATACTATTACACATAAAACAATATTGCATTCTTATTACTTTCATTCTATGGTATATATTCTTATATAATATATAATAACACATACATACATATACACATACCTATACACATATCTGTGCACATATAATAGAATTATTAACAATAAGGTTTTAAAATAGGAACATTATTGGAAACTATACATGTCAAATACTCTACATGCGTGATCTCATTTAATTATTGCAACTACTCTATGAGCAGCTATTGCTATCCCATTTTACCAATGAGGAAACTATGGCACAGAGAGGCTAACAATTTGCCAAAAGCCATGTGGCTTATACATAGCTCAGAGAGGCTGTGTACCCCACTCTGCCCAGCTGGCTCTTACCCAGGGTGCTCTGCTACTGCCCGTCACGCTGTAAGACAGGCAGCCCGTCACGGCAGTGGGGAGGTTGCAGCAGGGAGAGAAGGCTGATTTGGAGTAGGAAGTAGATAGAGAGCCTCCCCCATCTAGTGAGGATAGTTTTTGAAAAGAAAATGCAGTTTTTCTGACACCCCTTAAATTAAGGCTGCCCCTTCCCACACATACAGGGGGCTGCGAGAATGACAGCAGGCGTGTGTTTGCTAGCGCAGTAATTAGGGAATCGTGTGGCATCAGTGACTTTCCGAGATTAATCATCAACTCTGGATCTCTCTGGGCAAAGGCCAGGTGCAGCCCACAAGAAGAGGGCAAACAGGCAACAGTGATTTTACTGTCCCATAGATAAGTCAAGGGAGGACAATTAAGATCATTGCTGTCTAGAGGGACTTCACCTGGATTGATAGCCTTGGGCTTTAGCAAATATTTAAAAATAATAACAAAAAATCAAAACCAAGCAGCCGCATTCCCCCACCCACCCACCCAAGCTCAACGGAGCTAAATGTTTTCAGGCTCACGGTCTCTCGCTCTCTTGCTCCTCCTTGCTGTCTTTCAAACAGAGCAAGAGTGACCAGTGTTGGTGCCAACAGATACAGATTTCTGGCCAAAATGAACATGTCTTGAAATGTTATGCAGTTATGCAAGAATGCTAGACCTCTTCGTCATTCAAGAGCTGCAGGCATTCAAAACAGGCACTATTCCCATCCCACCAATTTCCAATCTTTTTATTCTAACCAAGTGTTAGATAGTCAAGGCCCATGGACAAGCAATGTCCCAGGAATTCACCACAGCATGGACACAAAAAGGCAGGCTCCTTGGAGAGGCTGGATTGTCCCTGAGGAGAATACACGGTAACTCTCTCAGAACATTCTGC